ATTCAAAAACATTAACTCAGCCAGAAAACCACCCAACACCTTTTTGTTTGCCTGTCTATGGTGAGGAAAAACTTGGGTTCTTGAACATGTATGTTTATCAATAAAAGTCCTAACTTGAAACATTTCGCAATCTTTTATTCTCTTTGCAATCATACGCCACGTACAGTTTTTGTCAATCATACACCTTGTTTCGAAACGATCTTTGCTTGATTTGTTAACTTTTAGTTGATAGCCATCTTCCACACATTTCGTATACAAAGCTATCTTCAAGTCTTCCTTTGTATCAAAACAATCATCTTTCTTGATACGAATAACTTTTGTGTAACAATCAACTGTTTTCTTTATCAACTCTTCTTACGGTATCTGAAGTAATTCTGGCATATTCCAGTTATACGCCCGTGGCATTTTCTTTTCTTCGGGGACTTTTTCTTCTTCTTTTTCTTCTTCAGGATTATATGAATTACAGAATGGATGTTCAACATGTTCATTCACAGTCGTAACTTCCTCCTCATTATCATCAACAATACATTCTTCGACAACGGTTGTTTCATCATCAAAATTCGGGTATTGACCAATATCAAAATCATTACACGCAGGGTTTGTTTCTTCTTCTGAAACATCATCAAAATCCGTGTATTGACCAATATCAAAGTCCGGATATTGACCAAGACCAAATTTCGAATACTGACTAGTACTCACAATTTTTTCTGTTGGCTCATCATCGTCTAACTGGTCAATACGAAAACCGGAATTTGGTGCTGAAAGTTGATTGGGATTTGGATTAGAGAAATGTTGTGGGTTTTGAGAAAAACTTAGTTGATTACTACCCGCTACTGACCCAACAATACTACTTCTAGGTTCAACAACATACAATGTAACATCATCTTGTGAAACACTAATGTAAGCAATGAATCGTTCAACATCTTCATTGTCGGTTAACAAATAAACTTTACCATTTCTCTGATAAGATAGCCTAAATCCACTTAGGGGCTCTAAATTCAATTTATTTGAAACAGTAGCATTAGAGTTTCATAAGTTAACTTTTGTAAAGACAATTTTAGTTGAAGATTCATGGGTAAAGGCATATATTGTAAAACACCATGAACATTATCCCATGACCCTCCAAAACACAAATCTATCCAAACATGATCAACATTAGATGATTTCATGGTTGTAAATTAATTTACTAAACAGACGAGCTGCGAAACTAAAACCTGTTGCCGGATTGGGAAGGATGTCGTTGGATATAGGAACGGATGTCGTCGGAGAGAGTGATAGATGGAGATGGAATGAGTTGCGATTTAGGGATTTAGTTTATGATTTGCTGCTGTTGCGTAGTTATATACCCAAAATTTCAGTGTTGTGATTTACAGATTCTCGTTGCGATTTACGGATTATCGTTGCGATTTACAGATTCTCGTTGCGATTTACTGATTATCGTTGCGATTTACGGATACGCGTTGCGATATACGGATACGCATTGCGATTTACGGATACACGTTGCGATTTACGGATACACGTTGCGATTTACGGATACGCGTTGCGATTTATGTGTTCGCGTTGCGATTTTCATATTCGCGTTGCGATTCTGTAAAATCGCAATACGAATTTGTACTATCGCATTGCGATTGTCAAGAATCGCGTTGCGATTTTGGAAACTGGTTTGCGATTCTGGGGATCGCGTTGCGATTTTTATTTCGCGTTGCGATTTTGTTGGTCATTTTGGCAAATCCAAAAAAAGTTGGTTAAAATCGTATATTATAAGGCATTTTTGGTCACTGAGGCGATTTTCTCTAATAATAATAGTGTCAAAATGTATAATTAAAGGGTTTATCACAGGTTTAGGACAGAAGTCACAGAACATTTGTAAACCTAATCCCCTCCTTGAATCCTTTTGATGGTCAGTACTCTCCAGCCAAAACCAGAACAAAGGATTGATGGTAAAGGGGAGATGTTCCAAGCAAGCAAAAGCAGAAATTAACTATTTACAAAAAAATATGCATCATAGCTTCTTCTTCTTCTTTTCACAGGTTTATCAAACAATTCATATGCTAAATAAGGTTATTGTCTTTCGATGCAGTTTTGCAAGATCGTATAGCCCGTATCATGTCCCGCAGTAGCCAGTAAGAACGTATAATCTACAGTCAAGCCAAATCATTTATATTCATTAATATATACTGGAGCAGAAATGTAAAAAAAAGTGTTATTAATTTGATTCATTTGGGGGAGGGGGCGGACTTATACCCTAACTGGAAAGGACAACAATATTCTTAAAAACCAGCCATAGGACCTGCCTCGAAGAAGCTTTTCAAACAATAGGATGCCAAATCCATGGTCCCTTTTTCTTTTTCCCTAAAAAATTACATATAACTAACAGATACTTTTTGCAACATACATATAAAGTTCTTCAAAAATATACGGAACAACTCAGATGCAAAAGAGAGGAGATCATATATTCCTACTTACCAGTTTCTTCCTTCAAAGCAAAACACTACTGATCCTTCCACATAGGAAGAGTCTCAAGCCATAAATCATTTAATGAATAAAGACAAGGAGATTGTGATCTTCACACACCCAAAAAATATGGATGAAATTCAGTAATCTAATGCAAAGAACTGACTCAGAATTCCCATAACAGGGAATGGAGGATATCAATCAGAACCAGATTCTTTTGCTATCTATATGGATGAAATACAGTAATCCAATGCAAACTTTTTAACAATGTTAAATCTATATTGAGAAAGATACTACTATTCAGTTCCATTGCAACAGATACAATCAGCTTTTAGAATCACCTAGCATTCTCCACTAGGAAAAGTAAAAAGAGAATACAATTTTCAAATTGTTTCCTAAATCTGTGCTAAGTACTACAAATCAATTTGAACATATAACCACAATAACTACAAATCACCTACCAGGCTGTTATGATTTCTGACTGTACTTGTGGTAACCAGATTGGAGGATAGTAACATAAATGACTACCTTAACTATTCAAATTCTAAATTTCCACTAGTTACTGGTGTTTAAAGGTTCAGTGCCATATCTATATTCCAAAATATGTTGTGTAACTAACATATTATAATGCAACAAGTAGAGAAAGTGTGGTTTTTTCCGTTGGCTGGTGGAGATTCCAGTTTCCTCTCTAGAAAATAGCACTTCAAACACCAAGGTCATTTGGCGCATCATTTCATATCATCAATATTCATGAAAACAATAGATCAAGATATTCTCAAACGCATTACTAAATGAATACGCTATGACTTCATACATTTCTACATATTCACCCTTAGTTGCAACTAGTTAAAAGCAAATCAAAAAACAAAAGGAAAAGCTAGGTTGAAGAATCAAATTATGAAACCGAAAAAACTAGCAAACTTTATTCGACTCTAAATTCAGACGCAAACATCTTTTAAGTAGCACCAACTACAACCTAACTCCCTAAAATCGATTAATAATACCAAATAGCACAAAAGCCCAGTTGTTTCAATCCAAAAACCAATACATTGAAGATAAAAATCATCGTGTTCTTGACCTGATTTTTCAAATTTAAAAAGGAAAGCGGGGAACTAAAAGATGAATTTGGCAAAAGTAGCGATTGGTGCTCACCTTAGACGAGTACCAGACGAGAAAGGATTCATGATTTCGTCCAGTGTTGAAGCTTCCGGAGAGAGCTTGAATCAGATCCAATCAAATTAAACGCTGCAACTAATCAATCAACAAATGAAGGCTTCACGGGATTAAACCGAATTTCTATTCAAATATTAGAATCCACAGCTTGAAGATCCAAAAGTTGGAATTCGAAGATCTAAGAAAGATAAAGCAGGCAGAGATGTGGATCTGAGCAGCAGAGAAAACGCAAGTCGCTGTTTTCCTTTTATTTTTTTTATTTTTTTCCCATTGAAGGTCCTTGAACAATAATTTTATATCTAATGTTTGAGAGTTGTGAGAGGGCAGCTGTAGAGAGCAATAATTGAACTTTGGCAAGCTTGCAATGTTTCTTCGGTTCACATAACATACTTCTTCGTGCTATTTAAAGGTAATGGTAGGTATCGATCAAGGTAACTGTTTCATAATGTGACCAACAAGCCGTCTTAGGTTGGTGTTGCGTGAAGATTGATTCGTGTTTGGGAAACGTTCAAGTGCGGCTACATAGTATACGGCTAAAATAAGATAGTATCAGTTTTGTTATTATTTTAAATAACAAAACGGGTAAAAAATAACCGAAAACATTATTTTTTGACCGATTCAAATTACCTATATAGGTAAACGCAATAAAAAAATCCGGTCAAAAGATGATGTTTTAGGTAACGCTTTACCAAAATCATCATTTTTTGACCGGATTTTTTTACCGTGTTTACCTATATAGGTAATTAGAACTGATAAAAAAATAATATTTTCGGTCATTTTTTTACCGATTATGTTATTTAAAATAATAACAAAACTGGTACCGCCTTATTTTAACCGTATACTAAGGTGTCGCACCGCAGAACTATCGTCATGTTAATATAGTGTAGACGGTTGGGTATTTGGAAAAAATGGAACATAGAAAACTGTTAAGGTAAATTAGAACAATGACCTATTTGATGTTTTAGTGAACAATTTGTTATTTTTAAAATTCTAGTGAAAAAATGAAAATTTACTCAAACATTAGTGACCATTTGAATAGTTTACCCTTTTTAATTTTATATATTTAATGTACAACACCTACAATCTGTTAAAGGTTTCCTTCAATGACCACATCTTAATTAAATAAAAAAAACTGATAAAATATTATATTTTTTAAATCCAACAAGGAAAAATGTACAAACTTTAAACGAAAGTGATCAGTCTTATAATTAAATAAAAATGAAAATGACCAAATATTATGTTTTTGAATTCAATGAGAAAAAATATACAAAACTTAAACGAAAGTGATCAATCATATAGTTTACCAAATTAAAATTTTAATAGTATAAACTATCAGGAGTTTAAAGTTAAGTGGTATATAGTGTAATTTACTCTTAATAAAACTACCTTTCTTATTAACTTTCAATATAATTTTTACTTTTTTTAAATAGTAAAAGAAACAGCTCAACCCAAGCATGATTAAGCAAAAGAGAAAACTTCAAACCCCTATTCCGATGCAAAAAGTCCTTAGAGGGCAATGTTGGCCGATTGAGAACATGAATTTCCAAGTGAATCGTAGAATAATGTCACCGGCAACTGCATGGGGGTTCTTTATAACATTTCTTCAAGGATTTGTGTATGCTTCACTTCTTATCCCTTTTCTCTTTGAATCTACGAATCCTTGCCACAGCACCTTCTCAGGACAAAACCATCAGAAACAACATAACAAATTAATAAGATATGAGAATTTATGAGAAGTATTCCGGAATCTAGATGATATCAACTGTTACTCGGGCTCTGGGATAAGTGTAGGATTTAAATACAAGCATACAAGTTTAACTAAGATTAGAAGTCGGCCTATCGAAGGGAAGCTTTGAGCATAGTCGCAATAGAGGATAAAACGATTACCGGGAGTCATAAGTACTTGGGTACAAAGACTTAATCTTAATGGGAGACACTAATTTAAAAATATTGAGGGGAAGAAAAAGATGGTACAAGTTAAGGTAGTAACGACTGAAAAAGACATTTGTTATGCAGATCTTACAAAATTTATGATCATAAACGAGCACAAAGAAAACGATCTATAAGCTGCTCATACTTTCTAGTTTGTTGATATTGTTCACAAGGTCTTATATAATTGTAGAGAAAGAAGAAAGGTAAACAAATTTCAAGATCTAAAGCCTGACCTCGGGCAGGAAAAATCTTTTACTAAAGACTGCACAGGAAGAGGAATCGTGGCATAGTGGAAAATAGGAAAGTTTAGCTCGGAAAAAGGAAAATTCACATATCTAGTGAGCAAAAGTGAACACCCAAAAGGTTCTGGAAAGGAAAAGAATCTTCCTATTATGAAATATAATTTGCTTGAAAAGATCTAGGCAAGGTTCAAAATAGCAACAGAAAGTATATACAAATGATATTTAACCGATTTATCTGACAATTTCCGATTATAAAAGCCTAGAGATTAAAGTTTCGTGGCCAAAAAAGAGAGGAATAGTGAGCCAAAGTACCTTTTGTATCTCTTCTTGGAACCACATGGACAAGGAGAATTTCGGCTCATTTCGCCACTCTTTGCCATGTTATACTTGGCAAGATCCAATGGTGTTGATCCCATTAGCTTTTGTACCTGTAAAAGAAAAAACAGAACACATGGAATTTTGCATAATTAAATACTCGGTGATATTTTAACTGTAGGAGAAACATTCGTCCGAACTCAAATGTGAAATTCTGCAATCGAAGAATGAATGAAGGTGGGCATCTCTGTCTTTTAAGCAATCAGGCATTGAACCAAAAAGAGTATTATGTAGTTCCCATAAGTCGATACTCGTTAGTGATGTTTTAACTGTAGAAGAAACATTCTTCTGAATTCAAATGTGAAATTCAACAATCGAAAAATTAATGAAGACAGCCATCTTTTTCTTCTAAACAACAGTCATTGAACCAAAAGAGTATTATGCAGTTCAGCAGATCAAACACCTTAAAAACTAAGGGTATGAAAAAACATTTCATGCATCAGAATACTTTCGAAAGGAGCAAACTATAACTATGTTCCTCTGACTTTTCATTTTCCATAAAGTAGTCATGTCCGTAGCATCCACAATGAATAGGGGATACAGCCCTCCAAGGCTACTCCAAATTCATGAAAAACATAAATGATTGACAACATACTTGTGTCAGACAAATATATCTAAAATTGACACCCTAATCCGAGCAACAACAATACATAATCATCTTTTTGATTCAGATAATGTGAATGATAACGAGAAACATAGCAACTCCCATACGCTCTCGCACAAATAGCTTCTTTCTCTCTTTCAAATAGCTTCTTTCTCTCTTTCAAATAGCTTCTTTCTCTTTCAAATAGCTTCTTTCTCTCTTTCAAATAGCTTATCCTACTACATTCAATATCATATATCCACCAGGCAACAGCAGGAAGAAAATGATGCATTAACTTAGAGAATTTAAGACCGGACAAGTTGAACAATGAGCATCAAGACACTAGTTCATACAATTTAATCATTCAACATATAATCGGCCAAAATATAACCGAAAAAAGAAAACCAGCGGCAAACCTACCTCGGGAAAGTTCTTTGGCATTGGTTTCCCTTCCTCTTTCAACTTAACCATCTTCTTATGCACTTCTTTAGCCCAAGTAAACTTGGCAAGCGCGTTCTCAACATCCAATAAGGTACAATCACACTGCTTTGCAGCTTCTTTCTTATGACTCAGTTGGAGATTCTACAAAAAGTCAATAAAACCTAAATCCACGATCAATAACATAACAAAAGCAACAACCAACGAATTCAGCACTTAATTGAAAACACCTAACATAATAATATACCAAAAAGAAAAAGAAAAAACAATTGTGGAGGTAGAATTAGAAGAAAACCTCGCCTGTTGGATCACAACCTCCAAGATACCTAAAGATGGCTATTTTTTTTTCAAACACGTCGTCAAAGGTAGCCTCGCTGGTTCTACCAGCTATGTACTCCTTAAATTTCCCTAAATTTCTAGCGCCCTTCAGTTCATCGGCAAATCCTAAAGCATCAACATTCGTGTATTACTACTAACAAATTAATTTTGATTTTCCAAAAAAAGGTGAAATAATATCATTAAAAAGCAGAAACTGTATTCTAGAGAAATGAGCTGGAGAGGAGATGACTCACGAAGGAGAGTGAAGGATTCGTCCCTGGTTTCTTTATCATCTGGCGAGGTCTTTTTGCCGGCGAAGATTCCTTTGATCGAGTCCATCCAGGAGTGGACAGGTGACGTGGTGAAGATCGAACGGTGCTGTGATAGAATCAATTGACATGCGGGGTAACTGAATCCGGGTGAAATGAAGCTGCTCTTTGAAATGCTGTTTATTAATCTAGAAGAAAGCATTGTTTTTTGCTTGCTGAGGTTTATCGATGAAGAGATGTTCTCGGTCCATTTTAACCTCAACACTTGGATCACCAAAACGATGATTTTGAATAAAACCCAATCTGGAAATAGAGAGTTAGTTTTGTTTGGGTAAACTACATGTTTAGTCACCTAACTGTGTGTTTGATTTCTTTTTGATCACTCAACTATTTTCGTTTTCAAAATCATACCTAACTTATGTTTTGGTTCAGTTTTCACCCGCCATTAAAAAAATAGTTAAAACTGTTGATGTGCTAATTTTTTTCAATGATAACGTGATATTACTTTATAGTGACACATCAATATTACCATTAATTTTTTATTTAATTATACCTATTTAATTTAACTAAGTTAAATCTATATAAAGATTGCAGCTCATATATATATATATATATATATATATATTGGCGATGAGAGAAGGAGAGGGGTATCCGGAGGAGAGAGGCGAAGAGTGTCTATCGGTATCGACATCCCGGAACTCCTCGTTGTGCACCATCATGGACTCCAATTCAAACTCCCAATCAAACGTTGAGTTCTGATGCAAAGAATTTTGCATATCAAACACGACTCTCTTCTTCCTCACATGTTTAGTAACGATTTTGAGAAAAAAAATAATTGACCAAAACTATTGAAATAATTGAGTGATTAAATATGTAATTTACCATTGTATTTTTTTATCGAAATCATCTGTTTAAAAAAAATGAGAGAATGATTTAAATTTTATGAGACAATACATCCTAAAAAATACTTTAAAGAGTAACTTGGTACAAAATACATAATTTAAGTGATAATGGTGCCCTAAAATATATTTTCGTGATATTCCTTCACATGGAACAAACGTGTGAAAAACTAATCAACAACAGTATATTGAAGATGGATAATAAGTATTTAAATTTAAATCTATTATCCCTAAATATAAAATAGACCCAAATCATACATCCAATACATAACATCGCCATCCCTATTTGGAAATCACGAGTATAGATTATATTTCGCAATCTCTTCAAGTAGTTTCATCCGATATATTTGAACAACTTCACTGATTAAAGAATTATTATTATTCTTTAAAGTCTAATATTTAAACACTACGTATGTAGAGATATGCACATTTTGTCAAATAGTTAAGAGTTTTTAAACAAACAATGCCTTGTATTTATCTCAAATTTATCAAAAAAATAAAAAATAAAAATAAAAAGGTGTATATGGAAATACACTCATTCCCTTCAAATGTATTAAAAAAATGAAAAGTACCATTTCCCCATACAAATATTACTCCCCCGAACTGGGGTAACAATAGCTTAGGTTATAGGAGCAAAAGTTCAACATTTCAAAGAACATGCAGACTCGTGCATGAGAATGAACGACAAAATCAAAATGAAATTGTTCGAATAATGTTTACCACGGGAAACCAAGCATCCATTTAAGCAGGTAAATAGCTTTGCAATAATGTTCAGATTCCAACCAGCTTAACCCAATACATCACTTGACAGCCATTTAAGTTCATGGAACCTTCAGCTATCTGACTGTTCTATTCAGCTTTAATACCTACATTAATGTTACTGCACAAACAGATTATCCATTCAAACAAAAATATGATTGAGATTAAAGCCCCCTTTTTTCACTTTCCTATCCCTTACTCGATGGTACAACAGCCTTAAACCTTCTAAGAGAATGGTGGAATTGATCAAATGAATACGAAACCGAAGACATCACCTGTATCTTCTCTCTTGGCTTCCTGAATTCCGAATAACAAATCTCTGAAAGAATATTGAAACATCTAAGCTTTAGTCCGCCTAAACTCAAACCATATCTCGTAGTGATTGAACAATAAACTGTCGTGTGTATGCTTCCCAAGATACTCGAGCCCTAAACTTGAGAGCATTTTCGTGCATTTTTCCCCTCCCAATCGCGTACAAAACTTTATGTTATGCGAAACAAATATGCGCCCATCGTAAGGTTTCAACTTATTCAGTAACCTCTCGAGTCCAACCCACACGAGCTTATCTGGCATGTGAAGAAAACAGCACTATATCAAATCATAGACAACATCCGATCCAAACTTGTGAAATCCACATCCTCACCACGACGATTAAAGGTCGCTTATGTAACAGCCCTTGCGAAGGAAGCTCATACCTATATGCAGCCATCAAGGAAAGCTCATCCCTTTCAAGACAATGGAAATGCTCCGTTTAAGATACCGGATAAAATGCAGTCCCACTCGAGTGTTCCACAACCTATCTCGAGCACTCGAGAATTAGCTGTTAGGTGACTAGATTCTGCAAGGAACTCAAAGACGTCCCGACCTCCGGCCCATGGTCCCCATAATTACTATGATGCTCTTCAACAAGAAGCTCACCCGGACATGGAAGAGCAGTATGGTTGTTTTCTTCAGATCCTTCATAGTGCGAAATACCCTTAAAGCTGAACATTCCACAAAATTTTATCACTAACTTGAAACACACACAAGTTTCATAATTGTTTGATATTAGACTACAATCATGCTCTCTTTATTTTTTCCTAATTTCTTTTTTTTTATTTAGGTTACAATCTAAATAGATACAATTGATCAAATTTCATTTCAAATAAGTTAACATTCCCTATTGTTTAAGCCAACATCCTTCGTTAATCCATCTATCTTCTCCATTTCAGCTTATTTGAGGGGAAAATAAAACAGATAAAAAACGCTGTAATTGATAATCTGAAGCTTAAAAGGAAAAAGAATTCGTTCGAGAATTACTTGTTGAGATCTTCCAATTGTCGAGCACGTGTTCGAGGATTGATCCCTTTACGAAGCACATTATCCTGCATATGTAATCCATTAGCTCGGATCTGATCTTTTACCCATTCTATATCATCTCTTCTCGTAGAAATCCTCCGATCCGCATCTTCTTCCCCCACTGAACCACCGGCTACAGCGGCGTGGTAGTAAAGGCGGTGGGAGGGATTAAGGCGGGAAAGTGCAAGGAGAAGGAGAAGAGAGGTAAGATGAAATGAAAACAAAGAAGACTGCGGCGGCGGAGACTGAGAGAAGTAGAACTGGAATCGTTATCACTAACCCTTTTTGTGATGATGGCGCCATTCGTCAATTCTCCTCCACATACGCCTCTCGACGTTTCTGAGATTGGGATTTATTTTATTTTATTTTTAATTTAAGAGTTCGAAGAGAATGTCGATTTGAGTGGGGAACACGAGACCGACGTCGTTTATTTAATTTTTTAGTCCTCCATCTATAAAAAATAATGAAATAAACACTTGATTTAAAAAATTAACAAATAATCTGTTATCATAATATATATATGTAAATTATACGTTTAGTATAACGATTCCTATTTTTATTCTGTTTTGATCATTTAACTATTTTTAAACTTAATGTTCCGTTTTTATTTCATTTCAGTCACCTACAATTAAAAAATTAATGGTGATACTAATGTATTAGTAAAAGGTAATGCAATGTCTTCACTGAAAAATTTAAAATTGTCACATCAATAATTCTGTTAATCGTTTAAGGATGACTCATCAAAATGAAATCCAAACATAACGAGTTATATTTTGAAAAATAATAATTGAGTGACCAAAATAAAATAAAAGTGTTAGTTTGAATACTAAGTATATAGTTTACCCATATTTAATTGTCTACCGTGATAGTTAATAAAAATAAAATAACAATAAATTAGTCTCTTAAAATATTTTGTTTTAATTTAATTTTAATTTTAGATGACAATTTTTAATATTTAAATTTCTATTAATTTAATCCCTACTTCAACCCATTCTTTTCCTTCATTTTTTGTGACATTTAGTTACTTTTACTTCTTGTTGTTAATTTTTTTAGTTAAAATCAAATTAAAATAAGATACAAATTTGAGAGTTAAATTTATTATTGTATTAATTTTTAATTACTACTCATCTATGTTAAATTTTTAACAACAACGGAATCATGGACCGACTTAAGATTTTATATTAAGGGATTAATCTATTAAATTTTAAGGGGACAAACTTATAAAATTTTAGGGGAGTAAAATAAATTATTAATAAAAAAATATAAAGAAAATATTTAAATTATATAATGATTTAGAATTTTTAGTAGAACAATGTCCCTATCAGTTCACCTCGATCAATCCTGAACAGATCAATTTATTACTTTTTTAAGTTAGATGATCACTTTATAATTTTTCATAGTTGAGTGATTAAAAAAAAGAGATATAATTATGGAACAATTACGTGTTTTACCTTTATTATTATTTAATTTCTAATAATACGGTTTCTAAATATATATTTTTTATTATTTAAAAAAAAAAAGTATTGCTGTCGGCTGTCGGATCTTGGAGAGATTCGACTGGGGAACATAAACTTCTCTCTGTACAAGAACCTAAAATTCTAATCGAAGATCGACACGAAGAGTGTCGGAGACAATGGCAGCAAAACCTAGATTAGATCTTGAAAATCCACCGGATTTTCCTTGGCCGTTTCATCTCCGGCAACGGGCCCAACCTTATACCGCCACACATGCCCCAGTCGCTACCGTCTCCTGTGTCTATTCACTCCTACCAACAGGTCAGCGGAAATGTAAACTGTAAATATTATTTCATTGGCATAATTTTAAATTATATTCTCATAACACAATAAGACTCGAGTTTGATAGATTTAGGTCGAATCATGCATGATATTTAGCCTCTTGCAATTGATACGTGCTTTAAATTTTAGGTTTTTTTTTTATCGAAAGCAGCTCATTTTATTAAAAAAAAATATTTATTATTACCATGAACGTTTATAATTATAAACATAAACTAACTACATAATCAGGTTTTTTATAACTATTAACATAAAAAACATATAAATACTATATAAAGAAAATGTTAAAATCTTAATTAAAAACTCGAACAATAGATAGAGATACAAATAAATCTGATTGTATCGTTAAACGAAATACAAAAGATGATCAAATTATTGAAATATCATCGACAAACCACAAATCAGAGTCGAACGAAATGAGAAAATTTATCTACAAATGCAAATTGCATATCGAAATCCAATTCGATG